ATATAATAAAATTATTTGTTTTTATGCATGTCTCAACAAAGTGGACAGCTACATGCGCCTGCGTACTTTATGTCCCCCTAGTGGCCAGCAGTTGTCAGGTTTCCTGCGAGTCACGTGATTTCATAGAAACTCCCAGAGAGCTGCTGAAGCGCGTTCACGCGAGCCGTGTCGAGGCAATACACAAACACTCACGCAGGCCACAGGAGCGCGCGCACGCACGCACGCACGCACGTACCTACCGATCCCGACACAGCAGTAGAACAAGCTGTGGCGCCCACTGAGGTAAACGAAACTTAAATCCACTTCCGAAATGAGAACGCCGACATTTTGGGGGACAATTTTAGACGCGCTCTCGCTTTGCTAAATGTTTCTTCTCGTTTGCGCGACCGAACGAAAGTGTTTATAAATTCAACGAGGAAGTGCCGACTTGCGAACCAGCTCTTTTTATCTGTGTATTTATTAAGTTACAAACTAACTGCGTTATGTGTTTTGTGCGTGTTTATTTTGTTTGTTTGTTTTTTTTTTGTGTGTGTGCGCGTGTGTCTCCCAACACACCCACCCACAGCTTGGCTCGGAGTCGCTTGTTTGGAACCATGGCACAGAAGACGCCGCGATGCACACGTCGACTGCGCTCGTGGATCGTGGAACAGGTGCGCGTGCGCGTGAGTCAGCTCAGGAGGAGGTGCAGGATGTGATCCAGAAACACTTATCCCCCAACCTGTCCCCCGCGATTTGCTGAAAACTCATCTCGGCATTGTTTTTCCATCTCTCTCTACTGCAACACAACTGATTCAAATGATCAGTTCATCATCAGCAAGCCCCGCAGGAGCCTGATGATCTTGATCATTTCGAATCGGGTGTGTTAGAGGAGGGAAACATCGAAAACATGCGCGATACCGGGGCCCCTCGAGGACCGGAGTTTGACATCTGTGATTTAGGTGAAAGAAGTGCTTTGCCCAAATCTTGTTTTAGAACCTGTCAACTAAAAGTGATATGTGCCGGCAGGTGACCAGCGGTCAGTTTCCTGGTCTGAAGTGGGAGGATGAGGCCCAAACAATGTTCCGCATCCCGTGGAAACATGCCGGCAAGCAGGACTTCCGCAAGGACGAGGATGCCGCCATTTTCAAGGTGTGTGTGTGTGTGTGTGTGTGTGTGTGTGTGTGTGTGTGTGTGTGTGTGTGTGTGTGTGTGTGTGAGT